AATGTGGCTCCCTGCAGAGTAAACAGGCTTTGTTAACCTCTGAACTGGCATTGATGCTGGAAAGTGGATCAAAAAGCCTGCTTCGGGTGTTATTATCAAGATAACAGCTTAACTGAGCGCAGGACGAGTTATTATACAGGAGCCAAGCGTAGGGAGAGTCAGAGGGATAGAGCTGAGAGATTCTTGGGTCAGATATCTGGCAGAGTGTTATGATCAATGCCAAGGCATTGCATCTGAATGCGATCTCAGGTGGGTTTAGCAAAATGATTCTTGAATGTGTTTTTGTACTGTGCTTATCGTTGGAATTTACTTTGAATGACACCCTTCACAGAAAATGTCAGCTCTGGAATGTTGTCTGAAGAATATGATGACATGACATCAATTTTGCTCTACAATATCATTAAGCCTTTTCCAGTGTAGGGTTCAGCCTTCCTACACAATACAGCTAAGCCAATACAGCTAAACTGTCCCAGAGATGGAGTTTAAGATGTCAACAGCATTCCTTCAATAGACTGTCCATTAATAGAATAATGGTGTTTTATCATCAAATATGCATGCAGAAACGTCAATGAAGATATGGGATACTGGCTAGATGTATCTAAGTTGACTGTGTGTGCGTCTCTTTTTCTTGTTCTCTCTTCCAGCTTAAAGAATCAATTGTGCGTCCAGTGAATCTGAACCGGAGACAAACATTCGGATTGATGTCAGACAAGCTACAGCCAGCTTGTCCTGCTTTTCTGTGTGTCTCTCTCAATCTCTCTCTCTCTCTCTCTCTCATTCTCTTGCTTGCTCTCTCTTGCTCTCTCTCTCTCTCCATCTTTCTGTGTCTGTCTCTCATTCATTAATTTTCTCTATGTTGGTATTGGAGACTAAAATGCCCCCAAACCCTCACCCCACCACATTATACTCCTGAGGACTCAGCATCATAGAGCAGGATAAGAGTGCAGAGATAATCAAGCCTTCAGTGTTAGTCTTCAGTATCCAGGACAGGACATCACTCACCACCATGGTCCAGGAGTGAAAGAGTGGACCTATTTAAGTCAGCCCCACTGCTCAAAATCCATTCTGCCTTCCCTCTGCCTGCTTGTTTTTTTCACCAATAACAATCCTTTGGTACTGTTTAATCAATCAATTATTTTACATTCCTGCCTCCAGTTGATAGTTTTTGTGTTCCTGTCTCTTAGATCCCTGTAGACATTAACAATAAATGGAAGCGTGTGGAGATTGGCAGTAACAAAACTGCAGGGCTGCAATGGTAAGAAAAAAGCTGAGAAAGGGAAGTTGTTTACTAAAGCTTTCAATAATAATTCCATTGAAATGATCAGTGTTGTACAACTTATGTGTTTTACATTATGTTGGTTAATTGTACAGCCCTGAAAGTTTTACAGTATGAGCAAATAGGAAGATAAGTCATTTTATTTTTATTACATTTTAAGAAAGACAGTGTATTAGAAATTCAAGTAGTAGTTTTTATTTTGTTTATGGTGCTTGAAGTTCATGATAGAAGATCATATTTTATTAAGCTATTACAATCTGTATGTTGAGCTAAGAAGAATGTTTAATGTCTGATAGATTTTCAGTGGGATCACTTATGTAGCATTTACAGGTGTATTTCCACCAGTTCTGAGGTGTATTCTTGCTTGGCCCATCCATGCAGTTTTGAGGTGACAGTGGTGATGTGCTCTTTGTCTCAGGGAGGTCCTCACTAATTAAAGATCTTTATGTTACTTTATCGTAACTGTTTATCATGTTTGCTTACATTGAATTACTTGTAATTTCAGCAAAGCCTTTTAAAAAATACTGGCATACTAATCTAGGGTTGAATTTATTGAAGTGTCACTGTTGTATATTAAAAGTGTTGTGGCTGAATTCCATTTAAAATGTTAGGCTGAATTCCAGCCAACAAATGAAATTCTCACAACATTACTTTAGCTCTCTGCAAGGATATCGACTTGCCCAAACATCAAACAGATGTGGCATGTTGTTGATGTCATCTGGGTTTATCACGGGAGTTATCCCGTGGGGGAATTTGGGAAATGATACAGTAGTTATACTATTAGTGATATTTTGTGAATTGCTTATCTTGTTGAATCAAATCATTTATAATTGGAAACGACTGTGAATTACCAGGAGTTATTTATTTGCCTGTCACTGCGGCGTTGTGTTAAAAACAAAATGTTGTTTAATCGATAGCCCTTACAAATGTGTTTGTATTATGTTTGTGGTAATTTGTTACTGATGTATTTATTTTAAAATGAGAAATTCCTGGGAGGATCACTCTCCAATCAAATTCAACTCTTTCTGACATGCAAGAAGACTTTTTACAGTTTTTTTTTCTGCTCAACAAAACTCCATCAAAGGTTTTTTTTCAACCAGAGAGAGAAGTGAAGAGAGAAAATTAAACCATTATGAACTGGAGCAAAAACTGGATATGGCTCAAGTTTGCCCGCAGAAATTCATGCATAAAAAAGATGGGGGAAAGACTGCATTTTTGAGTCATTGGCCTTGGTGGTGCTACAGGCCAAAACCCATGTAAATATTTTTATTAATATTACAAACAATAAGGATTCTGTGCACGGATTGAACTCCATTCACTGAAATGCTCTGCTAACCCCCAAGCGATGTTCTTATCATTGGGCCATCTCTCTCTTTAGAAATTGTGTGTTTCACCCTTTCCATTGCGCCCCTCTACCACCTCGCCCCCTTTGTATTCTGGGCTATGTACTGTACTGCGTCTTGAGGAGAATAAAATACACTTGCTAACTAGTGAAATTGTGCTGATCTGTCTGATGTGGTTCTGCTCATTATCAAGATGACTCCTGAGCTGAAGGTGCCCCCTTTCATTCTCAGTTTGGTTGTAACAACATGATGACGTGTAACGAATAGTGTCAACAGGATACTTTTCAGTGGTACAGTGCTCATTGGATGGTAACATTTACCTTAATTGCACACAAAAGAAAAGGACTACAACATGTAAATGATTAACAACAGAACAATTCCATGTAAAGTATTTTGAACCTGAGTTTTGAACCTGAAACAAGTCGTCTTTGGACAAGTACAGGTCTTACTCATGGACAATACAAAGTGAAAGTCACGCTTTGTCCTTACTGTCAGAATTCAAAGGCAGCTGTAGAAATTTTGTATTTTATATGTGAACACGCCCTTATCCCCCTCATACATGTAAAGGATTTAGCACTCTTGGTAACAGTTTGTTTTCTCCATACCTGCCCATTAGTTGCCCCAAATAAACACCACCATTCAGCACCTGAATGTTAAAAGTTATATTTCCCATAGTTTCACTTAGAGCTTGACCTGTTCAGTTTTTGATTGTTCAGAGATTTTGGGCTGATTTGTGAAAGCCGTAGCCATGGTGCATCTAGAAAGCATCATGGAATGGCACACCAATGGTGCATAATTAGAGCAGTGTGGTGAAATAAGAATGTGAAAATAGAAGTAAGCATTATTACCGTGAAAAGCACTCTCAGTTTAATCACTTACCCCGTATCTCAATCAGATTACCAATGTCATCCTGTTCCCCAGCTGGATTGAGCAATTGCAATGACGTCCTCTGAGGTATGTAATGGAATCTGCACCTGCGCACCTGTCTCTTGTGCTGAGTCACACAATTATGTTTGCCAAGCTACACCAGTCATTGGTTTCGACAGTAACTGATTAAGGAGTTTACGGAACAATAGCTGTGCATATTGGCAGGGTGCTTGGCTGGCAAGATTGCACATGCACAGATTGAGAAGTGCGAGCTATCTAATAAAGGAACTTAACTTGCAAAATGAATGTATTGCTGTTCAGATTATTATTTTTTAATGGCTAGGGTCACCACTGTAACTGAGAGCTCTAATACATAATGGAAAAAAAATCCTTAAGAGTTGCTTCTTATTCTTAATATCTTATTGTGATAGTCATTATTCCTCTACTGCATTCCTAGTCATGCATTAAGAAAACATTAACAATGTGTCTCATTCTTTAAGAGGTTGTTAATCCTGTTATCAAATAAGTAGTACATTTGATTAATAGAGAGTACAGTCAACGCATGGTAAACATAGCAGAAACTCAAAATAATTGCTTTGTTTTATTTGCAGTTCTTGTACAAAATATATTTAAATGTGATATCGGCACAGTAATATTGTCATTTAATTTGCAGTGATTTGCAGTAATTCCTTTACTCATAAAACTGCAGAAAAGGTAATGTATTTATTTCTTGTTTCATTAACAGGTTTTCAGTGTACTGTGACTGCAATGTCAAGGAATAATCTAGTTCCACTGATTCCATTTCACTGGACATTCTAGCTCCTTGGTAAAGCTAGAATTAAATCAATTAATCATATTTATGTCCAAGAGATGCACTTTTACAATATATGTTATTAAATACACCCTCATTAAACATATTGTACATTGTGCATGGGGATAAGGATAAAGGGGCATGGGAGAAAATACAGGAAAATGAGATCAATGCAAGTGGCTCCCATAAGGCCTAACAGCTCTGCCTTTTATCATGTTATCTTTAGTCTCTGCACCAAGCAGCACCAGCTGCTGGATATTTCAAACAGCTCAATTTCTTATGAGTCATTTTGCATAGGCGGATGTGGTGTTCAAACAACATTAAACATTTTGGCCTACTAACAGTTTGAATGATTTCAAACAATAATCATGCTGTTAGCACAACACAAAATGGATAATGGCATCGTTTAGGGTTTGTGTGGGCTACCTTCGCTCAGATTGCCACATAACATGATCACCTGTTGGGAAGGATCAGGTTTTGGGAAGCAAGCCTGTCCCCCAAGAGGAACAGGAGAGAACATTGTGTGTTGCTTACTGATAGGCTTGCATTGTTTACAAAGGTAAGAAACCAATGTTGTAGGTCTTGCTGTAAAAAAATAACTTTTCTCCTCATAAGCCTTTACTAGAGTCGAGCAGATTGTCAGATTGTGTTGCACCTGTTGTACTTTTACTGGGTATACATAGATCTGGGTGGCATGTTGGACAGCGGTGTGGTGTAATGGTAGTGAGTCAGGCTCGTAACCAAAAGGTTGCTGGTTTGATTCCTGCTGGGGCACTGTTGTTGTACCCTTGGGCAAGGTACTTAAGCCAGAACTGCCTCAGTAAAATGTCCAGCTGTATAAATGGATAATATGCAAAACTGTAGCCTATGTAGGTCGCTCTGGATAAGAGCATCTGGTAAATGACAACAATGTAATGTAATGTAGATCATCTAATTCATTCTAGTCAATACATTTGACTAGAGGCCAAAAGGCATCCAACATGGATGCTGGAGCTAGAGGGCCAAAGGAGGTACACACTTCAGAATGTGCAAAATGTCTCTGAAGGGGAGAGCAAATAAGTTCTGAGGTTCAAGGTATTAGTATTTTTCATTTAAGCTGAAAACTCACTCAGGCCTTTGAGGTTCAAGATTTACCGTTATGAAAAATACAGAGGCAAATCTGTGATCATTTGACAGCAAAAATATATAACATATAAGGATGAGCCCGGTGCCTTTGAATCCAATCCCTGGTCTCAAATGCATGGCAAAGAGTTAATCCACCACAAACCTATAAAGGCGCTGTCATCCAGAACCACTAAGTAAGAGGTGTAATTAGGCTTTATGCAAGGCGAGGGGAATTAGAGGGTGATTTAAAAAGGGAGGCAGAGGATTCTTCAGAAAGAGCCCAGGGCTGAACCGTGTGATACTGTATGAAATGTGCGCGGGTGAAGTCTCCTATGTATAAGTAGCACTCCAGGCAGTCTCCTCCGAGAAGCCCTATACCTTTCTTTCATTCCAATCAATTCTATGAGCTCCTGAAGAAATTAAATGCGAAGATCATGGATTTACGTATTTGTTGCACCTTTCAATTGACCTCTGTAACATACCTCCTCCAGCAAGGGTTTTACAAATGCGCACCTTCATGCAGTATTCAGTCAATAAAGACAACGCCTGAAGGAGCAGCAATGGACTGTGGTGCTGATACAGGGCACTGATTGACACCACGTGGGCATCATATGTGATATTGTTACTTGGTTTTAAAGCAGACTTGCGATTGATTTCACAATGCAAAAAGTAGTCTGTTGTTAAGTAGGTAACTCACTGGAATGATGACATGCTATTACCAGCAATGGCATTAATTTACCTGTAAATCACTTCAACAAATCATGTGGCCACATTACTCTTCAATGTAATTGGTGGATGGTGAAGGGGTTTGAGCATAACTGTTTGATCAGTCTATTGTTAATTCAGGTCAAGCCCTGATTATGGAGAGAGACTCCTTGTTTATCGCTGTTATAATGCCTCATCTTTGTGGAAATAAAATTCTTCCCCTGCATACAAAGTAGGGGAGTGTCATCAGAGGAAGTAATGAACATGAATCAATTTTTAATGGTGCATTAATAAAATATTTTTGCTTGATCATTTCCAGAGGCAGAAAAGCAGCTCCCTAAATTTCTCAGAGCAGAAAACAAATTCTGGTCTTGTTACTTAAGAGTATTCTTGAGATTATTTATTGAACGGAAATGCATGCATACATCTTATGCGCATACATCTACATGCATGCAAGCACACACATACACTAGCGTCAAATGAATGGCTTTTGGCACGCTGAGAACATGGGAAAATTACTTTTAAAATTGATGTGAAATTGTATCTGGGTGTTTTTTTTCGTAGCTCATATGTGCAGTGCTCTCAAGCTTCCTCTGGTGCCCACTTATTCACAGATTGCTGAAGGTTCAGATACTCTCTGTATGGTCATGTTCTCACATGCATATTTGCTGTGGTAATGCCAGATTTTGTCACCTAGCAATTTCATCACTTTTGCTGCATTCAAGTAGATTTGAATTTCCATAAAATCAAAGCCTGAAGGTTTTGTTTGATGTGGTTATAGTGGTACTTTTATTTGGCTTCAAGTACAACAAAGGGATTGCACCTGGCCATGGGATGAGGTTGTTGACCTCCTATCTGGGCATCATAAACAGGGAAAAGAAAGGGGGAAGATGGGGTGGAGAAGGGATCCTTTGAACAGCTGAAATTGAAAGGCATTGGTAAGTATGATGTTTATATTCATGAAAGAGACCACTTTGTCTAGGTTTTTTTATTTGCGATTGGGAATTGAAAATTCTGAAAATTCTCCTCCCGAATCTTTCTTTGGAACTTCAATACAAAATTGTATTGTATTGAAGTTCCTTAAAAGTAGAGAGAGACGGTTTTCTTAAAAGATACAATCACAGCAGCAGAACCAGCATCCTTTCAAAGTCTTTGGTCCAACCAGGCCATGATGTAAATCCACAACCCTCCAGTAATCAGCATAAACACATTAACTACCAGTGCATCATTACACGTACAATAGACAGACTACAATAATTTTGCTCAGTCTCTTTTTGCCTCTTTGTGTTATTGCAAATTTGTGCACAGCTCAATAGCTGATTAAACCTGAAGCGTCTATTTTATTGCATGTGAGTCATTTGTGGCTGATGAATGGGTGGAAAAGTTTTGCGCTGTCTGATTCAATTTGCCTGCCCATGGTTTGAGTTCCCCAGCCTCCCCCCCGGGAGCATCCAGGTTGTCAAGGTGGATCTGTCCAGCAGTCAGATTCTCTCCCTTCGTGCGTGTGCGTGTTTTATTGTCGGTATTTTTGTTAATACAGAAGCACCCTGTTCCCCCTGACCGGTGTGATCCCTGGGGGCCTGTCTGTCACAGTTCATTTGCATAGCGTTGCACTAGTCCGCGAATCAGGGGGGTAAACTGGAGCAATGTGCCACTCGTCGTTGCATGGCAACCACAGCCAGGACAGCCAGGGGCCTGGGTGTGGAATCCCTGGAAAGGTTCTAAATCTAGCCCATGGATCGACATGACTCTCTGGTTGACTTTGCAGGGAAATGAGTCTGTAAACATTTTAAATAAACATTAACCTGGTATCTCATTATGAAGATGATATTTGGATAGAATTTATAAACATTAACTGGACTGGTTGTTTGTCTCCCTTGCAGGCTTTGAATCCTGTGACATTGATAAATATTCCATTTTTACCAGCACCACAAACGTGTTCCCTTCTTCTGCGGATACCTTTTAATCATTAGGTACAATCGCCCAGGAGGAAATCAGTGCCACTGATCATTATTATTCTTTCAATAGGCTGAGATTAGTTGCCCAAACGCTGGAACCCCATTTGCAGCTTGTCTCCTGCCTTCCCCTGTCTGCTGCAAATGGCATGCATTCATTATTCACGGCGCTTAAGGCTAGCATAGCATGTGTGTTCTGCTCACTGGGATCGAACTCAGCTGAATCCTGAGAGGGCAATATCAGCACCACCATCCCCCCCACCACCACCCATCCCTCTGTGTTTACTTCATCACCCCAGCTAGAAAAACATGTCAGTCTCCGTTATCAGTTCAGATTGCTGCAGCTGGGAGATGATAAAGCTGTAAATGCAATCAGATCTGTTACAACAGAAACATTATCTCTTTTCTCCAGTTCATCTCTGATGTTATGCCGGGCTGCAGGATGGGGCGCTCAGACATGCTTCCTTCTCTCAGGACCCCATGATCTGCCGGCTAAATATAGTCATCAAGGAGGAGTCCTCCAAAACAGCACAAAACCTCAGCACTCTGTAAAAAAGGGAAGTTGCTCCACTGTGTGGCTGCCTGAAACCTAATCCCCTGTTTGCCACTGATAAGATTAATTGCCACAGAACATAGCCCCCCTGCTCTACTGATGCACTCTGTAATTATGGACAACTTGTTTAGCTTTCTCTATTCAGCAATTTATTTTCTTCCCTCAGGACCTTCTGTTTGATTAGTTGCACGCATCCCCTGCAGTAAACTGTCGTGGCATACAGAGTGGTTCCAACAGAAGATTTGTCTTGAACATCAGATAAGGGGCCATTTTTGGATAGACATTTAATATCATTAAAGGTTGCTCCACCATGATGGTCAGGCATGGCTTGCATAGCTGGATATGGGCTACCATATGAGTAGCATCAAATTCATACAGTAAGTGGAGGCATGTATGCAAAGTTTTTGTTATTGTTGTAGTAATTGGACATGTAACATAAACCTGTGTGGTGAAACACAGGCTTTCATGTTGAATTGATCACATATTAATTGCAAAATAAAGTAGAGTTGCTAAGTAGTACAAAACACAATGCAAAGTGCATTAACACAATGCATAAACATTGTGTCTTATCATATTAATATACAGTAATTTCATTTTCAATGGTATCAGTGACCTTCTCAGTCTCAAAAGTGTGTTTGCTAAAGCATAAATGTCAACAAGCCATTCAAAAAGTTCCTTTCAATCCTTGGGTAAGAAGAAGAGGCGGCACTCATAAAAATGTTTTACAAGGGCACAAACCTCATTTATATAATTTTAGTTAGTGGTCACATCAAGAAAGACAAAAGTAACCACAATGACACACTTATTAAAGATTTTATGATTATATGATTACATATATGATTATATGAAGTTACTCATATTATGGTATATTAAAACAGGACAGATACTGTAATGCTGTATAATCAGGTGAGTTTGAGGAAGAGCTTACAATGACAGATCAGCTTGACAGTTTTTGAGTACGATCGCTGGTGTTGGTTGTTTACTAGAATTGTGGAGGCTACAAGGTTTTGACAAGCATTATAATTACATTGCGTCTCTCATGCTGCTTTCAAGTGTCACATATACCTACAGGGAACATGCTAATGTATGCAAATACAAAGTCCCTTCCATATGCCAATCCATGTATTTTTAATTAGTGTATCTTTTAGCTTGGAGGCCCCATTTTCTTTAATATTTCAATTCTTGCTTCTTCATAGCTTGCTGAAACTGAAACCTTAAGGAGGAGGTATTTGTGGTAGTTTGTGAGTTCAACATTTGGTTATGGGTCTCCGGCTACTGGGGAGAAAGATCAGTTAATAATAAATAAGTTGTTTTTTTTTTTTTTATCCTGAGCAGGACTTGGTCCTCACAGAGAGGCCTTCATATCAAGTTCCATAATACTTTGTTTGGAGCATGTTATAGAATTCTTCTACTGTTCTTTATTTCAGTGATATGACAGAGCAAAGGAACATATGTTGC